ACACACACACACATATATATATATATATATATATATATATATATATATATATATATATATATATATATATATATATATATATATATATATATATAGTATTTGTATGTATGTATGTATGTATATTTTCATGTATACACGTATTATGTTCTATGAATGGATGCATATACATAGAAAAAGTATGAACGGGAATGTATATCTTCATAAAACAAGAGATGTATTTGGTCGGTTTCGATTATATCTTCGACAGAAATACATACCATAATCGAAGCCGGTCAGATACATCTCTGGTATTGTGAAGATATCCCTTCCCATTCATACCGTTTCTACATTTGTCAACATGAATATGATTCATGCAAACATGCTTTTTTTTATCCAATTATCCTCTATTTTCTATCTGCTCGTAGACATATATTCTATTTGCTGTGTTTTTAATTGTTAACATATGAATTTATATATATATATATATATATATATATATATATATATATATATATATATATATATATATATATATATATATATATATATATATATATATATATGTGTGTGTGTGTGTGTGTGTGTGTGTGTGTGTGTGTGTGTGTGCATATATATATATATATATATATATATATATATATATATATATATATATATATATATATATATATATATATATATATATATGTGTGTGTGCATATATATATATATATATATATATATATATATATATATATATATATATATATATATATATATATATATATATATATATATACATATATAGGCTACATATATATACATATATATATGGATATATATATATATATATATATATATATATATATATATATATATATATATATATATATATATATATATACACATATATATATCTATATATATATATATATATATATATATGTGTGTGTATATATATATATATATATATATATATATATATATATATATATATATATATATATATATATATATATATATATATATATATATGTATGTATATATATGTCGAAAACTGCAAACGGAAATAAAACATTAATCGCTACCACAGTAATCTCTATCCCCCGATTATTACAATATCTTTCTCTCTCAAATATCAAGTTCTCATTATCTAAACCCTTCGCCATCTCTCTTGAATCTGTCAGCCTCTTCAGCTCATCTTCACCGGCTTACTTCATCAAACTCCCTCCTGTTCGCCCCCCCCCCCTCTCCCCCTCCCCCCCCTCTCTTCCCTCTCCTCCCTCTCCCTCCTCATACCCGCCCAACTCCCCCCCCCCCCCTCCGTGTCCTCATTTCGACACTCATTTCCCCTCATATTCCCTCATCTCCCCCGTTTCATCTTATCAATTTTGGCTCTCTTCCCCTTTTCCCCTTTCGCCTCCTTTGTCCATTTCTCCTCTTTCCTTACTTCATCTCTTCTACTTTCTTATTCTTTCCTCTTCCCATTTCATCTCCATATTATTTCACTCCTATTTACCCTCCTTCCTCTTTATCTTCGCACTATTTCTCCCCCTTCCTCTTCCTCAATTCAGTTCCTCATTACGTTTTTTTTTCCTTTCTCATCATCCTTGCTCCCCCCCCCTCCTTCATCTTTATACTATTTCTCGCCTTCACTCTCATCTCCTCCTCACTCTTCTTCCTTCTCCCATCTTCCATCCTCCCTCCCTCCTTCATCTCTCCTCTCTTATACCTCCTACCTCCTCCTCCTACTCCTCCACAAATCACTACGTTCCTCCTTTCCCCCTTCCCCTGCTTCCCCACCTCCCCCTCCCTCCCCCACCTCCCCCTCCCTCCCCCACCTCCCCCTCCCTCCCCCCACCTCCCCCTCCCTCCCCCACCTCCCCCTCCTTCCCCCTCCTTCCCCTCCTTCTCCCTAACAAGTCAATATGGCGGAGCACAGCTGATGGACAGAGCAGTAAATATTTACCTCACGATCTTCTGGGGTTACCGAAAGAGTATGTCCTGTTCAGTTGCATTGTTGTACTTGTTGTGCTTGTTGTACTTGTTGTACTTGTTGTACTTGTTGTACTTGTTGTACTTGCTGTGTTTTTGTGCTTGTTGTCTTCGCGTTGTTTTCTTGTTGTTGATGGCGAGATATTTATGTTGTGATTTTATTTCATTCTGTTACTGTTGTTAGTGCTGCTATCAACTATAGCATAATAATAATAGTAATAATTCATTATTATTAATATTATCATTATTATTCATTATTATTAATATTTATATCTTCAATAATAATAATAATAATAACAATAATAATAATGATAATAATAATAATAATGATAATGGCAATAATAATTATTGCCATTATCATTATTTTTCCATTTATACTTCTTTATCCAAGAAATTATCAAGATTTCTCCAAAAGCTTATCATAAATTAAAAAAAACATTATTTGATCATCAAACTAATCTTTTATCATACAGTGACAATATGCAAACTACAATGAAATCAAATGATTTTGAAATAACTACAGCCCAACTTTCACATCTCCCATACTGTCATTAAAGTAATTATTTCATCAAATTAATAAGAAATCCATTAGACGTCGAGTTGCTATCTAATTGTCATGCTTAGACACTTAGTTAATGACGTAATCTTGAATCTTGCATGGCTTAATCGGTCCAATTATACAATCGTGCATAACCCAGGGAACCGAGTCCTAATTGTTGTATTTGTCTGTATTGCTGGCTGGTAGGGTAATGAGTTCTGTGGGGGGGGGGGGGGGGGGAGTAAGCAGATTGTAATGTTTGGGAAGTAGAGGAGGAGGAGGAGGTAGAAGAGGAGGAGGAGGAGGAAGAGGAGGAGGAGGAGGAAGAGGAGGAGGTAGAAGAGGAAGAGGAGGAGGAAGAGGAGGAGGAGGAAGAGGAGAAGGAGGAGGAAGAGGAGGAGGAGGTAGAAGAGGAGGAGGAGGAGGAAGAGGAGGAGGAGGAGGAAGAGGAGGAGGTAGAAGAGGAAGAGGAGGAGGAAGAGGAGGAGGAGGAAGAGGAGAAGGAGGAGGAAGAGGAGGAGGAGGTAGAAGAGGAGGTGGAGGAGGAAGAGGAGGAGGAGGAGGAGGAGGAGGTAGAAGAGGAAGAGGAGGAGGAAGAGGAGGAGGAGGAAGAGGAGAAGGAGGAGGAAGAGGAGGTGGAGGAGGAAGAGGAGGAGGAGGAGGTAGAAGAGGAAGAGGAGGAGGAAGAGGAGGAGGAGGAAGAGGAGAAGGAGGAGGAAGAGGAGGAGGAGGTAGAAGAGGAGGTGGTGGAGGAAGAGGAGGAGGAGGAGGAAGAGGAGGAGGTAGAAGATGAAGACGAGGAGGAAGAGGAGGAGGAGGAAGAGGAGAAGGAGGAGGAAGAGGAGGTGGAGGAGGAAGAGGAAGAGGAGGAGGAAGAGGAGGAGGTAGAAGAGGAAGAGGAGGAGGAAGAGGAGGAGGAGGAAGAGGAGAAGGAGGAGGAAGAGGAGGAGGAGGTGGAGGAGGAAGAGGAGGAGGAGGAGGAAGAGGAGGAGGTAGAAGAGGAAGAGGAGGAGGAGGAAGAGGAGAAGGAGGAGGAAGAGGAGGAGGAGGTGGAGGAGGAAGAGGAGGAGGAGGAGGAAGAGGAGGAGGTAGAAGAGGAGGAGGAGGAGGAAGAGGAGGAGGTAGAAGAGGAGGAGAAGGAGGAAGAGGAGGAGGTAGAAGAGGAGGAGGAGGAGGAAGAGGAGGAGGTAGAAGAGGAGGAGGAGGAGGAAGAGGAGGAGGTAGAAGAGGAGGAGAAGGAGGAAGAGGAGGAGGAGGTAGAAGAGGAGGTGGAGGAGGAAGAGGAGGAGGAGGAGGAAGAGGAGGTGAGGTAGTAACGAGGAGTGGCGGAGGAAGAGGAGAGGAGAGCGAAAAAGAGGAGGAGGAGGAGAGGAGGACGGAGGAGGGAACGAGGAGGGGAGGAGGAAGAGGAAGAGGAGGAGGAAGAGGAGGAGGTGGAAGAGGAAGAGGAGGAGGAAGAGGAGGAGGAGAAGAGGAGAAGGAGGAGAAGAGGAGGAGGAGGTAGAAGAGGAGGTGGAGGAGGAAGAGGAGTCGCCTACGGTTGGGGAGGAAGAGGAGGAGGAGAAGAGGAAGAGGGGGAGGAAGAGGAGGAGGAGGAAGAGGAAGAAGGAGAGGAAGAGGAGGAGTAGAAGAGGAGGTGGAGGAGAAGAGGAGGAGGAGGAGGAAGAGGAGAAGGGGAAGGAAGAGGAGGAGGTAGAAGAGGAGGTGGCGGCGGAAGAGGAGGAGGAGGAAGAGGAGGAGGTAGAAGAGGAAGAGGAGGAGGAATGGAGAGGAGGAGGAAGAGGAGAAGGAGGAGGAAGAGGTAGGAGGTAGAAGAGGAGGGGAGGAAGGAAGAGGGAGGAAGAGGAGGAGGAAGGAGGAAGAGGAGGAGGTAGAAAGAGGAGAGGAGGAGGAAGAGGAGAGGAGGAAGAGGAGAAGAAGGAGAAGAGGAGGAGGAGGTAGAGAGGAGGAGGAGGAGAAGAGGAGAGAGGGGGAGAAGAGAGGAGGTAAGAAGAGGAAGAGGAGGAGAAGAGAGGAGGAGGAAGAGGAGAAAGGAGAGAGGAAGAGGAGGAGGAGGTACGAAGAGGAAGCGTGAGAGGAGAAGAGGAGGATGAGGAGGAGGAGGAGGTAGAAGAGGAAGAGGAGGAGGAAGGGAGGAGGAGTGAGAGGAGAAGAGGAGGAAGAGGAGGTGGAGAGAAGAGGAGGAGAGGAGGTCGTTAGAAGAGGAAGAGGAGGAGGAAGAGGAGGACGGAGGAAGAGGAGAAGGAGGAGGAAGAGGAGAGAGGAGGTAGAAGAGGCGGTGGAGGAGGAAGAGGAGGAGGAGGAGGAAGAGGAGGAGGTAGAAGAGGAAGAGGAGGAGGAAGAGGAGGAGGAGGAAGAGGAGAAGGAGGAGGAAGAGGGAGGTGGAGGAGGAAGAGGAGGAGGAGGAGGAAGAGGATGGTGGTAGAAGAGGAAGAGGAGGAGGAAGAGGAGGAGGAGGAAGAGGAGAAGGAGGAGGAAGAGGAGGAGGAGGTGGAGGAGGAAGAGGAGG